ATCCAAGAACCTTCTAGACTCTTTCCCGCACAAATACCATGATAAATCAACCATCTACAAACTCAGGTACTGTTTCTCTCCCCAGACTTATTCTTTTTCAAACATATTTTTTTCTTGTTCTTTTTTTTTTTTTTTTTTTCAATCTGACAAAGGTGTAGGCGAATACTGGTATTATCGGAAATGTTCCTAACCTCGCTTCTAACCTTCGTGTGGTCATTCCTCTTGAAGTAAAATAATGAGATCACGGAAAATTTTCCTATCTCTTACTTCAAAATAAAATCATCTTAATCTTTTTCTTCGTCTCCTTTTTTTTTTTTAGAATAAGGGAGAGGAGCACTATTTTTTTTTTTTCAAATTTTCATTGGTCTCATTCATCAGGTATGAGCGAGGAATCAGGTTCTGAAGACACTAACCTCATTGATGGATAAAGTATACAAGCAATTAGCTCAGGTATTGTGGGTTATGTTGAGAATTCGGGTGTTTCTGTTCCGGTGATCGGTCCTATGGATTTTTCATTACTCTGACCAAATTGAGTGTGCAACGTTAACCAACCAAGCAATGGACTAGAAAACAAGATCATAGTTTTCAACAAAGATTTTGACTCAATAAAACAACTCTTTGAAAATGGACAGACTCTAAGAAAATAAAAGAAATAGTCAGTAAACGACTCTCCCAGACTTATGTAACACTGTCCCTAGAGTTACCAAGCAAGAGGAAGTCGAAAACAAATGAAAAGGAACAAAATTGAACTCGAGAAAACAGAACATAACCTTAATCGTGTAGTGGTGTCGATCGACACCCAGTCCGTGAATAGACAGTTGATCGAACAAGAATCTGAATTGTCGATCTTAATTTGAATGTTTCACAAGGATTCTCCAATAGGCACTGTCAAATCACTAAAACATACATTATAAGGCTCAACATGCTATAACAATCGAGTTCAACAAGTTCCAAATTAGAGAAAGTACAACAACCGAAACAAAGAAAATGTCTGAGAAAGAAACAAAAGAGAAACCATGACGAGATAGCAAAGGATAAGGAGGATAGCTAGTCCTCGTGCTCGAGATCAGTTCCCTGCGGTGGTGTGGGTGAGCACTGACGACGACGATCGGGACGAACGCATCCGCATCGAGAGAGAGTGGCAATAGCGTTCCAAACGCTCTTCAAGCTATCAACCATATACTATCGAAAAACCCCTATTTCCATTGGGATTGGTGGGGTGTCGGGACGCTCGTACTAAGAAGTAGAGGAGGAGGAGCCGTGACGAAGACCCCCAGCAGGGCCATAAATCGGTGCATCCTCAGCAGGTATAGGGACGGCTCTGGTAGCTGCTCTACGACGACGGGTGGGTGGTGGCACATGGAGAAGAGAGGCGTCGGGTAAGAAGCCGAGCTGAACAGGGTCACCTGTGATTGCAGTCAACTCGGGCTGAGGAAGTTGAATGAGGTGATCCCCAGTGCTATCAGAAAAAATCCAGAGCAAGTTACCCTTGAGCCACTGCGCATGCTTCAAATATGCCTCATCCATAGTAGAACGCGCGGTCGAGATTGATACCCCATCAATGTTGATACCCAAGTGCTGGAAGATAGGAATGAGAAGACTACCAACACATGCGGTCTTGGTCTCAGTGCCATTGAAAGGCCGATACTTGATCTTCTCCCGCTGATGTGCGAAGACAGCTCCGAAATTCACAAGCTGGTCACACTCATCCTCCTCGGGACCTGAAACGCAAGAATCACCAACAGCATAATTGAGGAGTATCACCTCAGTACGTCTCATCTTACCAGGCTCCATCTTGCACAACAAAATGTGGCCAAGGAGTCTAGCAACATATCGCAAAGTTGGATGCCTGATATCTGTCTGCGCTGATTTCTTGGAGTCATACTCTCCATTCCCAATATAAGACCAAAAGTTCTGAATACCATCAACACGATCAGGAAGAGCCACACGTGGGAGCTCACCATCAAAACCGTAGATCTCTGCCAACTCACGCAAAGGCAAACTGTAGCGCACTCCTCTAATGAAGAAACTCAGAAAACCGTCTCTAGCATTTTTCTCACGCTCTTTCTCATACCCAACTCTAACAGTAGCAATAAACTGCCTAACCAACTCCGGGAACATGTCATACTGCTTGGTCCAAATCGTTCCTAAACAGATAGCCTCTAACATCCCTAAAACCATGTTCTCAATTCCCATTCTTCTCATCAAATCCATATCCGCCACTCTAGTAGGCTTAAGAACAACTCCCGACAAGGTATCATAATCATCCCAATCCTGAGAGAAAAGACGGTTTATGTACTCACTTAGGCCTGGGCAAAAAACCCGGACCCGATACCCGGACCGAAAAAATCGGGTTGGAGCGGGTTAGGGTATTAGAAAATTACCTCATTGGGTAGAGTATTGGATTACCCGTGGGTATCGGGTCGGGTCGGGGATAACCCGTTACCCATTTAGGGTACCCACAAACCCGAAGAAATACACATGTTTATATATGTATATAGATAATTAGATATATAGTCTTATATAGTTATATACTTATATGTATCTCCTAGGTTTTAGGTTTTGTGACTTTTGACATTTGAATTTATATATGTATATAGATAATTAGATATATAGTCTTATATAGTTATATACTTATATATATACTTATATATATGCAATACACATATGTTTATATATGTATATAGATAATTAGAATCTACTCTTAACACTTAAGAGTGAAATAGTCATCTTTGTTATTTTGGATTGGATTTAGTATTTAAATGTCATGTTTGATGTTCTATTCTCTTTATTTGATCATTTGAGTATGTAAAGTGATTTTAAACTTCAGGTATTACCCAAACCGACCCGAACCCGACAATACCCGAACCGGACCGGAACCGAAACCATAGGAATACCCGAATGGACCATAAATTCATTACCCATTCAACCCGAACCCAAACGGGTTTTACCCGAACCCGAACGGGTTACCCATATGCCCAGGCCTATACTCACTTTTGGCGAATTCGCGTCGAACATCGCCGTCCCAAACCCGAGAGCTTCGAATTCGTTGCTTCTCCAAACGTGGCCATGCATGACGGCAATTGGAGGCTGGAGGAGCTTCTTGAGAGGCTGAGGAGGACGGCGCCGGTGGTGAAACGGCGGCTGGAGGCTCACGGCGGCGGGAGGAGGAAGAACCACTTCTGCCAAAAAAAATTTTTGCTTTTCTGGCCAGCCATGTTGCAGATCGGACGAATGGATACTTGGGATGGATAGAGGATCAAATGCTAATGGATTTAGACACCAAAAACGAAGAAACCGGTGAAGAATCGAAGATTCTAAGAGAGGAATGGTGATTTCGGCGGTTTGGGAGTAAAATGTAGAAGAAGGCGGGTCTGAAGGTTATGTCGACCTGCCTCGATTCCCGTGGTGTCGAGCGATACCAAGTGGTGTCGAGCGATACCAAGTGGTGTCGATCGACACCACCCCGTGGTCGCGATACTCGTTTTGTTGTTGTTGTTTTTTTTTTTATTATTCTGAAAAATCAGAAACTCAAAAATAAATGTTAGCTAGTTAGTAAAAAGAAAAAGAAAATGAAAACTAAAAATAATGATCAAGTATACAAATGAAGAATATAAAAGAAAATTAAAGAATTATATACAACCTATCGGGAGGGTTGCCTCCCACAGAGCACTTGTTTAAAGTCGTTAGCTCGACTCAACAGGTTGTCAGGCCAAAGGGATATCTTGCAGAGGCACGTCGTGTCGCTCTGAAAGCTCGGCTTTTGCCCAATAATGTTTTATCCTTTGCCCATTGACTTTGAATTCCTCACCTTTGGCATTTTTCAAGACAAGAGTGCCATATGGTCGAACAGAATGTACTGTAAAGGGACCTGACCATCGAGAAGACAATTTACCAGGAAACAAATGTAAACGGGAGTTATACAGAAGTACTTGATCGCCTGGTTCGAATGTCCTGGATATGATTCTCTTGTCATGATACGCCTACATGCGTTCCTTATAGAGCTTTGAGTTCTCATAGACCTAAATCCGTATTTCATCCAACTCGTTCAACTGAATCAATCGTTTCTCTGCAGTAGACTTGATGTCGAAATTCAGCATTTTGACTGTCCATTCTGCCTTGTACTCAAGCTCTACAGGCAGATGACACGCTTTTCCATAAAGCAAATGGAATGGTGTTGTCCCTAATGGTGTCTTGAACGCAGTCCTGTATGCCCAAAGTGCTTCATCAAGTTTGTAGGACCAATCGCGCTTTGACTTACCAACAGTTTTCTCTAAAATCTCTTTGATTTGCCGATTAGAAACTTCAACTTTTCCGCTCGTTTGCGGATGGTAAGGTGTAGCAACGCGATGATGAACTCCGTACTTAAGAAGCAGCTTCTCCAAAACTTTGTTGATGAAGTGTTTGCCACCATCACTAATGACAATACGAGGCACTCCAAAACGTGGGAATACAATGGTCTTAAACAGCTTATGAACCACTGTAGAATCGTTCTTCTCACAAGCTATCGCTTCTACCCACTTGGAGACATAATCCACAGCAACAAGGATGTACTTGTTCTTATTAGATATTGGAAACGGTCCCATGAAATCAATGCCCCAACAATCAAATACCTCAACCTCAAGAATAAACATTTGCGGCATCTCATTACGCTTGCTGATTTTTCCGCGCCTTTGACAAGTGTCACATTGGGATATAAACTTGTTATCATCGCGAAACATAGTGGGCCACCAAAATTCGGCTTGAAGAACCTTAGACACTGTTTTTAAAGTAGCGAAGTGACCAGCATAATCTGAGCTATGGCACTGAAAGAGCACATCGGGAACTTTGCATTCAGCAATACATCTCATGTAGATACCGTCAGAACAGTGCTTATAGAGATAAGGTTCATCCCAATGATACCTGCGAATTTCCCAAAGAAACTGTTTCTTGTTGTAATCTGTGAATTCGTCTGGTTCAACATCAGCATGCAGCAAGGTAATTGGCAATGTCAGCATACCATGGAGGATCGGATGTACACACAACAACCATATAAGTCTCGTTCCAAAACGATGTAGTGTCTGAAATCGAGCAGTGTCGATCGACACCAGGTGTGTCGGTCGACACCTCAACGCTTTCTGTGGACGTCTCGAGCTGCAGATCGACACTTATGTTTATCGTTCGATAAGTGTCCGTTGGAACATAACCGGTGTCGAGCGACACCCTGCTGGTGTCGATCGACACCATCGTGTCTGATCGGGAATTGCAGAAAAAAATTTCTGAATTTTCCTGAGAATGAGTATCGATCTTGTATATGTTCTCCTCAGGCAGAAATCATTGATGGGGACATTATCTTCAACTTTTATCCTACACAAATGATCAGCAACTCCGTTTTCAACTCCTTTCTTTTCCCGAATCTCGATGTCAAATTCTTGAAGAAGAACCCATCGCAGCAATCTTGGTTTAGCATCTTTCTTCTGCATCAAGTATTTGAGTGCTGCGTGATCCGTGTGCATTATCACCTTCGATCAAACCAAGTATGGTCGAAACTTCTCAAAAGCAAATACGACTGCTAGCAACTCTTTCTCCGTCGTGGCGTAATTGCGTTGTGCTTTGTCGAGTGTCCTGCTTGCGTAGTAAATAGCGTGAAGCTTCTTATCTTTCCTTTGTCTCAGAACAGCTCCCACTGCAAAATCACTGGCGTCACACATAATCTCAAAAGGTAAATCCCAGCTGGGCGGTTGGACTATAGGAGCACTGACTAGAGCTTGCTTGATCTGATTAAAGGCGGTGAGGCAATCAGCATTGATATCAAATTTCACATCCTTGCAAAGCAGAGCGGTCAGCGGTCTAGCAATCTTGCTGAAATCCTTGATAAATCTCCTGTAGAAACTCACATGCCCAAGAAAACTCCTAACCGATTTGACATTATCAGGTGGTTGTAGGCTTGCCATGACATCAATCTTGGCTCGGTCTACTTTAATACCATCACCTGAAACCCTGTGCCCGAGAACTATACCATCTTATACCATGAAGTGACACTTCTCCTAGTTAAGTACTAGATGCTTCTCCTCACATCTTGCCAACACTTTGCAGAGGTTTTCCAAACCATCCTCGAATGAGGACCCATAAACAGAAAAATCATCCATAAATACCTCCATGAAGTTCTCGATCATGTCTGTGAATATAGACATCATGCATCGCTGAAATGTCGCAGGAGCATTGCAAAGACCAAATGGCATCCTGCGATAGGCGAATGTACCATACCGACATGTGAAAGTGGTCTTCTCCTGGTTGTCTGGATGAATCGGTATTTGGAAGAATCCCAAATATCCATCAAGAAAATAGTAGTACTTATGATTAGCTAACCTCTCCAACATCTGATCGATAAACGGCAAGGGAAAATGATCTTTCCTGGTCGCAACATTCAACTTCCTGTAATCAATACACATCCTATGCCCGGTGACTGTTCGTGTAGGAATTAACTCATCCTTGTCATTCTTAACCACTGTAACACCTCCTTTCTTAGGGACCACATGTACTAGACTAACCCAATCGCTGTCTGAAATGGGATAGATGATCCCGGCTTCTAACAATTTTATGATCTCTTTCTTGACAACATCTTTCAGGTTCGGATTCAATATTTTCTGATGCTCAATTGACGACTTTGACTCGTCTTCGAGATGGATCCGATGCATGCACAAATCTAGAGAAATACCTGAAATGTCATCAAGAGAATAGCCAAGAGCTTTATGATACTTGCGAAGCTTGCTTAGCAATAAAGTGAGCTCTGCGTTGTTCAAAGAAGCATTAACAATGACAGGATAGGGAGAGTTTTCACCTAGAAACGTATATCGTAGTCCTGCAGGGAGTGGCTTAAGATCGATCTTTGGAGCTTTCTCGACGCTCCAATCTCCAAGCGTGGCAGCTTTTGATGATGTAGTCAACAATTCCTCTTGAACAACCAACTGCATAACGTGCTCTGTTCTATCCAGCAACTTGGCATACTCAACAGCTTCATCACCCAATTTACCAACGTCTTCCGCTGAAGTGATTAGTGCGCTCTTTAGAGGATCAGAAGGTATCAAGTCACTTTAAATACCGGTTGCCAATGGAGATAGGCTCTCCACAAGGTAAGTGCGTCCGTCGATAGTAGGTTTCTTGACAAGCCAATTCACGTCAAACTTCATCGTAAGATCGCCGACATGTAGACCAATCTTACCCTTCTTGACATCGATGATGGCGCCTGCAGTAGCTAAGAAGGAACGTCCAAGGATTAGGGGATCCTTAGGCTCCTTCTCGTAGGGTAGTACCATAAAATCAGCAGGGACTATGCAATCACCAACACTCACGAATATGTTGAATATAACGCCATCGGGAATTCGTACTGAATGGTCGGCGAGGACGAGAGATATCCTGGTAGGTTCAAGATCTTTGAGACCGAGGCGAGCTGCAACTGATCGCAGCATTAGATTGATGCTAGAGCCAAGATCACATAAGGCCTTTTCAAAGGGCACGTTGTTGATACTGCAGGTAATGACAAAGATCCCTGGGTCTGGAAGTTTCTTGGGAATCTGGTTCTGGATGATATTGCTCAAATATTTAGTCACCATCTTCTTGACATATCTCCTAAGTACAGGTGAGATCTTAACAGCATCAACTAGCGGCATCTCAACAATCATCTTGTTCATCATATCCTTGCATCTAGCATCATCTAGCTCTTGTTTAGACTTCCTGTTACTCTTAGGAAAGGGAATCCTGGGTTTGACTCCTTTTTCTGCAGCTGGAATCGGAGTTTGAAGAATTTATGGGTCTGTACGCGACGTGCGTCGAGCGACACCCTATTGGTGTCGGTCGACACCCTGTGGCTTCGCGGGGGCGTCCTTGTATTGAAATTCCCATTAGTTGCTGCATTGAGTATGACTTGGTAATGATAGTCAATGCCCTTGAAGAATATGCCAAGGAGAAGAAAATCACTGAAACCATAGTGGGGGCAATTTCGCTAATACGCTCTGAATCTTAACCAAGCTGCCTTGAAAGATTCTGTAGGGACTTGAGTAAACGAAGATATCTACAATCGCGCTTCTTCGGATAAGGACTCATCATAGAAGTGGACTAAGAACACATCCTTTACTTCTTGCCAATCGGTTAGAGAGCCTGGGCGCAATTGTCTAAGCCAGACGTTTCCATTTTCTCTAAGGGAATAAGGGAAAAGTTTGCAGAGCAAATAATTAGCTGGAACGCCTTCCGCCTTGATGCGGTGCCTAGCAACAAGATCAAAGAGCTCTGTTTTGATTGCGAATCAGGTCGTGCAAACGTAGGTAGTTTGATTGCTAATCCATTTGTGTAGTAGAGATCAGGTATGTTGTAGTCAGCAATCGTTCTTGGCTTGACGCCGATTTGGTGTCGATCGACACCTAGGTGGTGTTGGTCGACACTCTCGTCGAATATGTGCATTATGATTGTGATTCAATTCCTGAAGTTCCTGAAACACACGAAACCAAAGAAAGAAAATTACGTTAGTAACCAAAATAAAGAAAATCTAGACTTAATTCTACACTTAGTCTAATGGTGAAGCGAAGAGAACTTTGGCAACGGCGCCAAATTTGATAAGGTTCAAATTAATCCTAGAACTACTCTCTCAAAAAAGAGATCAAATTGTAGTACTTAAGGGTCGAATTCCACAAAGTTCTCGTTGTTCACACAATAAACAATTCAGCAAATCGAATCAAGCTAAATATAAAGAAATCAAATAAAAACTAGCAGTGAAATGAGGTTTTTAGATCAATTGATGAGAAAGCTAGACTTAAGGTTATTCCTTTCAGTAAATCAGAATTTTAAATTAAACAACAGGTAAGGGTTTATTAAGCGCCGTTCTTGAACTCAAATCACAAATATCAAACTAACCACCTCTTTCGATGCATTAATTCTCTATGCCTAACAATAGAAATCCCAACTCTGGATGCGAATTCCTATAACTAAACAAGCATTAAAGTTTAGGTTTGATATGTTCACAAAAGTACTAAACCAACTCTCGATGCGAATAGTTCTTTTGCTCACCTAAGATTATTTCAGGAAATAGATGACCTCTCGATTCTATCTAATATCCTATGAGCTAGATTCCAGGTGATCAGTCTAGAACTAGCAATTCATTCAAATCTAGGTGAAGAACGCTAAGATTACCCTACCAAATTATTCAATTTAGCAATTCATCAAAACATGGAAAAAACCCTAAATCTAACGAGTGAATTACTCAGACTTGGTAGAAGAAACACAAATCATAATAAGAATAAATTGCATTAAAAAGAGTGAGAGATAGAGTAAGGGAGTTCTGAATCTCTCTGAAGGAGTCTGATTCTTCTCTCCAAGCTAATCCACAAATCTCTCTCAAAATTCAAGCATAAAAACCTTACAAATATAAAAACCTAATAATATAGTCTCAAACACGTCGGGGACTTCTTTTGGAATAAACAGGAACACGTCGACACCAATATACTCTGATCGTGACAAGTTGCTCTTGTTAGCCATATTGCTCCAAATGTCCAGCTTTTGCTCCAGAATTCTCCTAAACCTGTAGGTACCTACAAAGACTCTAAAAGACGCAAAAAAGACCAAAATGACTCTAGAAACATACCTAATATCATGGTTAAAATCAGTAAAAACCACGATATATCAGTAGCTAACTAGAACTTGATCATAGGATAATAGGTATTTGATCCAAGAGGGCACCTGTTACTGGAACTACCTTAGATGAGCCTGGTTTATAGGTGTGTAATAAGAATCGGCCTATCTACTAAGGTGAACATATCAAACCTGAATTTAATGCTAGTCTAGATCTAGGAATTCGCATCGAGAGGTGGAAATACTGATATTAGATTAGTTAGTTAGCGCATCGAGAGGTGGTTAGCTATTCATTAGTGTTTTGAGTTCTAGAACGATTCGTTAAATAATCCTATTAAATTTGCTAGATTTACTATTAGTTTATTTCCTGAGAAATCCCTAAGCCTAACGTTTTCCTCATCAATTTTAAAACCCGAATTTAATTGCTTTCTTTTATTTTTAATATTTATATTTTCTGTTTAGCTTAATTCAAAGCCTGTTAATCTATTGTGTGAACACGAGAGCTTTGTGGAATTCGACCCTAAAGTACTGCAATTGATCTCTTATTTGAGAGAGTAGTCTTAGGTCTTAATTTGACTCACATCACAATGGTTACAGATCTCCACCCTTAACCCGCAGATATAACGGCGCACTTGAGACTGCTCATCCTCGAGTTTTCTTCCCACATATCGCCTAAGGCGATTGAACTCTTTATCGTATTCTCGCACCATTCGGTTGCCTTGTATCAAATCCAAATAGGCACACTCAAGCCTACCCCATGCCTCTAGAGAGAAAAACTTCTTGTTGAAATCCTCCTCAAAGTTCGGAAAGGTTTGGATTTGATCACCCTTGCGTTTCTCAACGGTCAACCACCAATTATGCGTATCCCCTTCCAAGAAGTGAATCGCAATGTCCTTCCGGTAATCTTCTGGGCACTGAGTGGAGTTAAACTTCCTTTTGAGCCGAGTCCTCCACTCATCCACCACGATTGGATCGGAACTTCCAGTGAAGTGCCTTGTTCCCAACTTCGAGATGTGCTCGAGTAAACTCAAGTAGTCTGCCCTCTTCCTTGAAGGGTTCGACGGTAGATTAACTTCGACAATCTCCACATCAACGTCCGCATCTGCGTCTATTTTGTTCTCCTTTACTTGAACCACATGATCCTGTGCAAGTGCCTTAGTCAATGTGGCTATTTGTGCCATCATTGCCTTCATCGTATCCCACTGCTCTTGGGCCGATGGAAGTGCATTTGGATTTTCCTTCCCATCTGTTGCACAACTATTCGTTGAGGTTTGATGAACCAGAGACTTTTGTCCAGCCACATGTCCGGCCAGATTCGTCCCATCTCGCGTTGCTTCGATCCTCGTTTCCTCGGTGAATTGTGTCTCCTCAACAACGCCCTTATCTTTCTAACTCTTTCCCGATTTGTTGCTCTTACCCATCTGCAAATAGTCGTAGAACCAAGCGTGCTCTTCTACCAACTTGAAAGACCACGATCCGGACTGCTTTAAGTCCGGAGAGGTTTTCTCTGATTAAATTCGAAGTGATCCGCTCCTTCGTCAAATTTTAGGGTCAATTCCTTAAGCCAATCCGTTCTAAGACATTCTGAGATTCATTACTTAGAGTTAATCTTAAATATTAGCAAAGAATCATATACTATATTAGATAATTAAAAGGATTCAATACAACTTATGAGTTTGCATATAAGCTATTACAAGTCATATAATTGATCCTATTCTACCCGATTCATCATCACCCATCTTCCCGGCCTTGAGTCTCTCAAGCCTAAGCCAAGTCCTTCCCACGATCACCTTCTTTTCCTGAAAGCCAAAGAGGCATAAGTATCCGTTTACTTATTATATACGTAAGTCCATGCAATGCTCTCTAAGACTTTTAACCACTCGGAACGTATAATAGATCAAGAGTGGAAGTATGTGCATCAGTTCGGCAAATTCACGGCAGATCTTAACAGATCCGCCGATCCTCCGCCGAGCCGCATCCCCATTTCAACCAATCCGCCACCCAAACCAAATTTATGCAGAATATGAATGATCCTCCGATACGAAAATATCACCCTAATCGTTCTGGACTTTCTTCTAAGTCATCGGAACAACCCCTAGGCTAGATCATTTGTATCATATCTCCTTAGATTCAGACACAAGGTCTAGAACCGCTCACCTTCAATCACACCGATCAAAACTCTCTTTTAAGTGTTTTCTCTCGAGATATTCTACGAGAGTTTCTGTATTTTTTTATGTGTTTTTCCGTGTCCGAATTCGTCCCAAATACCTTGTATTTATAGAGATCTCATTCAAAAATCGTTTCTTTAACCGTTTCTCTAGAAGGCACTCATTTGGTACATAACCGCTCTTTAGTAACAGTTTCTCGTAACCGCCCAATCGTTCTCCGTAATTGACCAACCGTTCTCTGTAACCGTCCAACCGTCGGAAAGTTATCCGAGCTTAGCTGAGCTACCTGGCAGCTGGTCAAGCTAGCTGAGCTACTCGACAGTTACCCGAGCTTAGCTGAGCTAGTCGAGCAGTAAGTCGAACTTAGTTGAGCTACTCGGCAGCTGGTTTGGCTACTTAGCGTGTATTATTCTCCTTCTCCGAGCTGATGGGCAGCTCCCGCCTAGACATGTCCGAGTTTCTCCTACTTTTCTCGGACCAAGTCTCATCCGATGATCCTATTGAGGATCACGGGCATTACAAATGAGATGAGATGATAAAGGATTAACATGTGAAATCTAACCAAGACATGTATATATTGCAGGATTGCATGTTTGGTCCAATCCTGATTACATGAAAGAGAACCATTAAGAAGATGGGAGAAAGACGGAGACGAAGGGCGAGACGTGCGGAGGAGAAGAGATCATCACCACCGCAATGGAAAAGCATGAAAGAGGGAGATTTTGTTTATGACAGTAAGGAGAAGTGGATCGGAGCGTAGGCGAAGCAAATCAGAAGCGAAGAATCAGATGACTAGGAAGACATCTCTAGAAAGATCACATTACCAAGCTGATTCTCGTCTTACCAGGGAGAATCAGATGACTAGGAAGACATCTCTAGAAAGATCACATTACCATAAACCCACATAATCAAGTTTATGTTCGAGAAATTATGCACGTTTCTTCTGAACAAGTAACTGTAGAAACTGTCCAAATATGTGCTACGTATGAACCAGAAAACAGTTTCGTGTTGGCTTCTTCGAGACAACGTTTGGAGATCCGAAACTGTGTTAATCCGGACGAAACTTGGTGGAGAGCTTCATGGAACTACTGGCTAGATAATAAACGGTGGGATTATGCTTATAAGAGTTAGTTCTTGACTTATGAGTATGTTTCCGCTGAGCTCGATTTAAGCTGAGACCTTGCAGGAGGCTTCATGAATTGGGCTTAGGTCTTTGTTGAAGGAAAACCAAGATGGATCCCAAGAGTATGCAATGAAAGCTCTTGTAGTAAATTGGTCTAAAGAGAAGAAAGGAAAAGTGAGTTGTTGTCATTAAGTGACCAAAATGAGGATGGTATTTGCGAAGCATTTTATCTATTTCTTTTGTTATGCTTCTTGACGCATGATATGTAGGCTTAGATCTGATTGTATAGGATAAGATTTGATTGTGATGATATGATTTGATTATTGTTGAGTTTGATATGTGTTATTGTGATGTTTGATAAGATGATGTTATGTATGAGAATGTTAAGTATGATTATGAGTATGCATGTATGATGTACATATGACTGGGGAGAATCGAGCTTTGGGTCGTGGTCTCCCTAGTAATAATGGACATTGATAGACCGACGGGTTAACAGCCAATCAGTAACGGCTGACGAGTCCGGAATGGGAGTGTATGAACTACGAGGGCCAGCCTCCACTCAAGAAGTTCTAGTCATCACGAGGATGACTGGGCCTAACGATGTATGTATGGTTATGTGGTTAAGAAGAATGTCATGAATATTGTTGTGGTTAGCAAGTAAGGTATGTTATGTGATTGCTAGTGTCTAAGTTTATATGTTATGATTATGGTTGTATACTTTTAGAAAGTGTTATTTGTTTCAGTGGGCAGAGTTGATTCCCCTCACTGAGTATTCTTTACTCACCCTTTTCTTTTCCTTTTTTCTTAGGTTAGTAAACTTCACGAGTTGTGTGCAATGTTCTCATATTTGTGTGAAGTTCAAAGAAAATTGTTTAGCAAGATCAGATGAATAACACATTGTCTTGTCCCTGTATGATGGGACAGGTGTTACACATAGTGGGGCAGGACTATGATGTGGCTATGTAACGGCTGACGAGCCATAGATGGAGATAAGTGCATACAAAAAATGTTTGTTTACTTTCATGTACCTTGATTGTTGTTTGATGTTAATTACTTGATAGCTTTGTTTGCAAGCATATTATTTAGCTATATTTTGTTTATATGATATTTAGCTATATTTTGTTTATATGATATTTAGCTATATTTTGTTTATGGATCGTGTGGGCAAGCGTGAGTTACTTGTTGCTCACGCTTCCGAAAAATGGTGGTTGGTGAGGATTAGGAGTGGAGTGGAAAGTAGTATTCGCGATAGTGCCATAGGTAGGGTTTGGGATCGTTGTTTTAATATTTTAATTAAAGATTTCTTCTTTTCAAGGCGTATTTATGGTGATTGTTTTAATTAATGAATGTCTTTCGAATTTTTTGACGTGTTATTTTAGACGCTAGGTTGGGATGTCACACCTACCTTAATGGACACTAAGGGATATACCGAATTTAACTCTTTTACATACTCAATTATAAACTTTAATATGTGTGATGAACTATGTGGTTATGCACTAGGAGTAGGCCATCTTTTTCTAGAAATACTGCTGAGAGCTAGCGCAGCTAGTATTAGATTGGCCGCAGAACTGCAATTTTTACCAAAACTATATAATCTCGTTTTCTAACCACAATCGTCGAACTTTGTTTCTTGTCAAAACCAAGGTACCACGTTTTTTTGCCAAAACCGTGAACCACGTTTTCCTCCCCAAAAAAGAATTTTGTTTTCTTGCTAAAGTAGCAAAACCATGTTAAACTACCAAAATCGCATAATCGGATTTTTTCGCTAAAACAGAAAATCACATGTTCTTGCCAAAACTAGACATGGGCATTCAAATTTCGGTTCGGATTTCGGTTCGGATTTTTTTGGATTCGGATAATTTGGATAGGCGTGTTTATCATCCGTTCGGGTTTTATAACTATTTCGGTTCGGATAGTGTCGGGTTCGGATCGGTTTCAGATATGTTTTTGGAAAAAAGGCTAATTTTATTAAAACTGTATATTTTTAAAAAATATAACTAAATATTTTTGGATATCTAGGTTATTTTGGATATTTTTTTGTTTTTTTTGGTATTTTTGGGTATAAAATTATAACTACATATAACAAATATTTTGGATATATAATTTTATTTTGAGTTTTCGGATATCCTCTCGGTTTTGGTTTGGATCGGATTCGGTTCAGGTGATTTGGGTAAAAGAATCATTATCCGTTTGGATTTTATAACTATTCGGTTTGATTTCGAAACCGGATTTTTTGGTTCAGTTTTCGAATTTCGGATTTTATGCCCAGTTCATAGTCCAAGCCAAAACCATGGAATCTTGACGTCAAACCACAAATCGTGTTTTTATGATTGTAGATGCTTTATAGAAGATATATAATGGGAAGAAAAATAATTGTTTTACTTTTTTACAAGTTACCAATCGAGTAAAAAGTAGAATCAAAACATGACGTAAAAAATAGAAAACTTACCACTACAAATACATGGTAGGAAAAAAATTCTCAGAATTTTTTTTTTATATTATTCTTCCAATGTTTTACTAGGATAAGAATCCAGGTACAAACTGTTTTGGTTTAGTCACATCCGTAGAATTGTATTTTCTTTCTAAATTTGTAAAAACTCGTGTTGGTTTTAAAGCTAAATATTATGTCTTTCTATAAAAACTATGAAATCATGATTCTTACGAAAACTATATAACCAAATTTGGCGCAAGAAAACAAATTGGCATAAAAGTTTGGATTTTAAAATTCACCGCCAAAGCATATTTTGTTTAACTTTTTTTATAATTCAACCATTTTTTTTTTAAAACTCTGATCAAAATAAATTAATTTGATATTAAAAGAAAATTAATTTGTTAAACAAGACATTCATATTTTTTTAACAAGACATGTCTGTAGCTATATGCTGTTTTCCTTGTTTGAAAAATCGCTAGACGCTAGTCGGGCGCTCGGCATGGGCCTAGCGATTAATCGAAAAATCGGATTAAAATCGGGGATTAATCGGGGATTAGTTTTAGGGTTATTTTAATATTTTTAAAATATATTAATTCAATATTGTAAAAATTTATGATTTTTATTACAGATTTATGATTTTTATTAAATTTTTTAACACAAGTTATTGTAAAACATCACAAACTCCCCATTCAAATGATTGAATAACAAAAATAAAAAGTTTTTTTATATTTGCAATCTAAAAAATAATCGGGGTATATAAGATTAGGCGGGAAGTAATTGGATTAGGCGGAGAATAATCGGGTAACTGATTTTTAAGGGATTAGTCATTAATCGAGGCGGATAGGGTGTGCCTAGCGATTATGCGGAGAGTAATCGGGGCTAGGCGGGGGGATGTTTTTTACTAGTCGTGCATATAATTAATTATACTAGAAACTCGTTTGAAGACGTCGATTTACTAAAGTCACCTCATAGATCGACGCGAGAATTTTTAATTATAAGAAATGTGGCATTGGTTAGTAAGGCTTTGTTCGTTTGGGAGTCACTAGTGTTTAGCGAGCAACGATAGAAACAAGTGACAATGACCAGCGATTGATCTTGTTGTTCGTTTAACAATCACTGTGACTAGTCGTCTAGTCCTTGTTTTTTTTTCTGTTGTTCGATTAACAGTCACTGTGACTGAGGCTGTCTTATTTGTTCGACAGTCGCTGGTCGCCAACGATTTTGTTAATTGTTTTTTTTTTTTAATTTCAACAATTCAGTTTTCGATATAAATCAATAGAAAAATAGAAGATTAAATTGTAACAAAAATTAAATATACAACCATAATCATAGTTTAAAACGTAAATAGAGAACATTAAAATATCTCATACCATATAAAAGTTTTTAATATGGTAATTGACGTCCTCTAACAATCTCACTCGTAATAGTATCACGCAAGTCCATACAGGTTGTCGACAGGTGATCGCATGTTAAAATGGAGAGGGGGAGCAACGGGGATGTGTGTGTTGTGCCAAAACTGTATAGAATCTCGAAATCATCTTTTCTTTGATTGTGATTTTAGTTCTACAGTTTGGGCAGCCCTTGCACACGGCCTTCTCAAATCACGGTACACAACCGATTGGCATCTTCTTATAGACATCATATCTACCAACCAATTCACCAAAGTGGAGGCCTTCCTCACTCGATATGTAATCCAAGCAGTCGTTTATGCTATATGGAGAGAACGAAATGGAAGAAGGCATGGAGAAAGTGCACAAACGACTGAACGCATTACGGCATGGGTTGACAAATTGATAAGGAATCGAATCTCAGCCATCCGCCTGATGGGAGACAAGAGATATGAGAAGGCCTATCAATTCTGGATTCAAACCCGAGACTAAGCTATATGTGATCTTTTAAGTTTCCTTTCAGCTACTTATTCAAACAAACGAAGCACTAGTTGTACAAACGTTTATTTTTTCTTTTGAGTATAATTTAACATTACATTCAAAAAAAAAAAAAAATAGTATCACGCAAGTCTTCCATCACTCTAGCACCAGTACGTTCATATGGAGTATATCCACTACCACCAACATCATCATCATCATCATCATCCCTGTATCATATGAGATCGAAAAAGAGAATTAGAGAAGTTGTGTGAAGAAGAAGATGAGATTTTAGCTCTAACGGTTTTTGTTTTTCATAAAGGATAAAATAGTAATTATTGAGTTTCAGTCACTACGTTTTGAAATCGATCGATAAAAAAATAGCGACCTAAAATTACAGTTGTTGATCATTGCGACCAGCCCTGCGGTCAATCGTTGGATTGAACAACTGCCAAACGAACAACATTTGGTCGTGGTCGTGGTCGTTCGTCGTAGTCACCAGCGACTGACGAATAAACAACACCTAAACCGACTGAAACATTGGTTATAAATATCTCTGTTTTTCCTTTCAAAATATTAAAAAATTGTTGATTATACGGGCCCATTAAAATAGGGTTCACATAATTACAACCTCAAATGTTTGTTTAGTTTATTATCCTATGTTTAGAATTTCATGAGCTTCTTCGTAAATGAGGTTAAGTCAGACAATATTAATATCGCACAATGACGGTCTATATTTCAGGTAACTGACGTTATACACAATATTAAGCGACATAATTTGTCGTGTTTTTTTGTAGTGATATATATATATATATATATATATATATATATATATGCAACTTTTAGATGCAAAAACTAATTTTAAAAACTGAACAAGTGTTTTAGATATTGAATTTGAATATATATAAAAGTTGTTGGAAAATGGAAATGATGATCAAGTGTTGAAAAACTCCCGACTCAAACAAGTTGGTAGTAGAATATTATTATTTAGTATTATTCGTATTAATAAGGTACATCTGAACTAAGCTTTTTAAGGTAACCTTAAAATTGGATCTGGGACATAGAAAACGAGGTCTCAACATTTTCCCTCATTATCTTATTTTAGATTCTTCATCTATAAAACTCCCCACTTGCGTTGATCATATCAGCAAACACTGGATCTAGATTCTCGATCTATGTCCTATAATCAGGTTTGGTGGTAAACCAAATTACCAAAGTTTACTTTTCACAATTTATTTATATCCATATAATATTCGGTTTCTTATGCAGTTACATAAGGAATATCTTTAGAATGCTTTAATCGAACTGGAAATAAAACTTTACGATCATTAATGCCAAAACTTTAATAAAGGAATTAAAGAGTTCTTTTCTATTGTGATTAATAAAGGTTAACCAACACACTTCGAGTGATCTTACAAGAAGTTCTTGTTTAATAGAGACACTATGGCATGCACTTATGCCTCGAAAACCACTTCAAAGATAACAAATAAGCCATGATTATCAAACTCAATAATGAGTTAAGTACAGAAGAAACTGGCGATGAGCCGATGACTCAATATAAATTGTTGCCAATAATTCAAGACGCCCTTTACCTTTTTCAATGTTGATGTTTGGTCATGTACATGTTTAATGGACTGAATGAAAAGTAGGTGAGTTACTCAAAAAGCACAAAAAAGGGCGTTAATTACCCATATGACGCGTACGATTTGTCGCTCGTTAAAGGCAGAATTGCCCCTCGTCTGATGTTGTGTGGGAAACGTAATTACGAATCTGCCATTAAAAGATGATGCCACGTCAGTGAGAGAAGGTGTATTTTACCCGCGAAAATGTCCCGCGCCGACAAAAGTCTGTCGCTGTAGTGACGGCAGAGTTAATTAACTTATTAGATTTAATCGATAGAAATTAAAAAACTATATTTTTCAGTTAGATTAATATCATAGACTTAATAATTGATAGAGTTCTATAGAGATATTTTACGCGGTAGCAGAGTTATTTGTTTCATAGAGTCATTTGACAGATTATGATGACTTTACGTTTACGCATATAACACCGTGATAGATTTAATTTTATGTGGTGGTAGAGCTATGTGACATTGTAAAATAATATATTTGTGAGAGAGAGTTTTATGTTATGGTGGTAGACTAAAAGAGCGATTTAGAGTTATATGACACAGAAACCGTAAAAAGTCTGTTACAACATGGTAGATATTATTTGGACAGAGTTATTTCTTAACTCTGTCATAACGAGGCAGAGTAACAGTTTACTCAACTAGCACGTTTAGGCTTTTTTTTTGACGTATGTGGTGATAGATATGTAAGAAATTGTTATCGATTAGTGTTAAAGAGGGCGAACATAAAAAAAAAAGCGAAAGTCTTGTTTACCCTTACATTAACGATTTATTACGCCGGAAACCTGTCTTGTTCCCCGAAGCAAACATTTTAGCAAAAAAGTGTTGTTTATTACAGATCTATTGCTGTTTCATCTAGTGAAAGATGGTAGAAATTCCACTGGTATGTGGGAAGTGGAAATTTGCAAAAAACAAATGGTCATTTATTGTAGATGAAAGAAGAGGTTGCAGGGTACTGTCTGCGAAAGCAGGAAGTTCGTTTGATGATTTTTTGGCAATGGTGTACGAGGATTTCGGGTTTGATAGAAAGGTTTATGAGGTTAAGCTTAGTTATAAATTGCATACGATGAACTTCATCGTCATTCCAGAAGATACTCCTCCGGTTATTGTATGTAACCGGTGCCAGTTAGAAGGATTTATCCGGCAATGCAATTCTGAATTCGTGGGGCGCCTCTGTGTCCAAATCGAAGAATATGAAACTGAAAAATATATTTCCGACCCAGATGTATCACCTGAGAAAACAGAGTCCAACGAAGAGCAGTATTACAAGAGTAAAGCAGCAGGGAAACAACCAATTTATACTTGTTCAATGGACGGCGAAGCTTATCTAGAAGGAGAGGAACAAAAAAGCGAGGATGAGGACGAGATTTACAGGTTTGATTGTTGCGATGATAGTGATGGAGCAAGCTCTGGGGATGAAGATTACGGTATGTCTTATAAGTCTGATGAGGAAACAGATGATGAAGATGAAGCTGATGCAGAAAAGTTGGAAGTTGAAGAAGAAGAGAATGCAGAGGAAGCAGTGGTTAAAGATGAAGAAGATGAAGAAATGGTAGATGTGCAAAATAAAGAAGAGAATAAAATCGTTCCAATTGGCAAGAGGGTGTCGATTACTGCAAAAGAGTATGTGCAATTACTTAGTGGAGGTGTTGCTATCGCTATTGGGCAAAAATATGAATCGAAATTTCAATTGGTGATTCGAATGAAGATAATTAGTGTCTTACAAAAATTTGACTTCGTCGTTCACTACAAGAAAACATGGATTTAGCGACTACAAGAAACGTAACTAAAGAGTCGCTAAACACATAATAACCACTAATTAGCGACTAATAAACGTTGTCGCCGAACACTGCGTCGCTAAAATAAATTGTAGCCTAATAGTCGCTAAATAGCGACTATTCTGCGACAACTATTTGAAGTCGCCTGTGCGTCGCGTATGAGTCGCTAAAGTGGCGACGGTTCTGCTACTAATATGTCACTATTTGGCGACTGGTTTGGCGACTAATAGGTGACTGTGGAATCGCCAAAAAGACACTACAAGGCGACTGTTTTATGAATGTTTTAGTGACTGAATGGCTATCGTTTTGCGACTTATTGGAGGTTTATTTTTGGATTTTGCCTGCTTATTTTGATTCCAATTACGTTTGCATTTACTAATTAAAACCAAACATACAAAACATACAAGTTCACAAGACCAAAACATACAAGTTCTTAATAAACATAAAAACATACAAGTTCACAAGACCAAAAGTACAAGTCCAAAATATCAAGTTCACAAGACATAAATACAAACATACTTGTACCATAAGTACAAGACCAAAAGATCAAGTTCAAGTTTTTGAGTTAAGAGGAGAGAAAGCTAAGTAGCAGGAGTAGTACCATCAGCATTAGCAGCAGGAGTTGGATTTGGTTGGACTTCTGAATGATCATCCGCAGCAGGAGTTGATTGGGAATTGAGGAAGGCCAGGAAATTAGGGTCAGTTTCACTCAGGTACTTCTTCACCATCGACAAATGCTTGATCTCAGCTGCTTGTGATGCTGCGACCCGCAATGCCTCTGCTTCACGTGCTGCTTGTAGAGCTGCTTGTTCCTCTATCTTGCGGTTAGCATCCTCAAGCTGTGACTGCAGGGTTGTGAAAGAAGAACTGCTTCCTGCGTACTTGCGCTTCCCGTTGATGTAAACCCCTAAGCTGCCAATTCCAAAGTAATCCCCTCTATCATTTGTGACAGTAGACTGCAAAACAAAGTAAAAACATTAGTGCTTAACAGATAAAAGTAGACTACAGAGCAAAAGACAAGACTACTACCTGAAGAAATATCTCATCATCCTCCTCCTGAGACAGCTCAGACTGACGCGAATTACCATCATCCTGTTCATCATTCTCTTGCAGGGCAGCCAACTTAGCTACCTTGTTCTTGAGATATGCCTCATGGATTTCCTGCGCCTTCCTATCCACAAATGTCCCATCCTTCTTGGTATGAGTTCTGATGAACACTTCTCCAATAGTAGGAGGTCTTCCCAATTCAACTTCCTGAAATATAGTAACAGAGATGTCAGCAAGTAATAAACAAAACAAGTATTTAAAACAGACATGTAACTTACCATCTCTTGCTCCACTTGTAAAAAGGACTTTGGACCAGAAACATGCTTGTGAGGACCAAGACCATTACGGTCAGACATCCTAGCTGCTGATGTGGTTGAACTCTTGGCTTGGGCTTCTTCAGTATCCCAATACTTACACATCTCTCTCCACAGAGTTTTCTCAATCCAATACGGCCTCACTCTTGGGCTTTTTGACCCTGCCTTACTAACCATGTCTTTCATACGCAGTGCAATGATCTTGTAGAACTTGGCTTCAACCACACCTGTAACTGAGGGATGCCAGGTGTGTGTTTTCTACCAAAACAAGAGGACAGTGAAGCAGATGTTAGTTATCAAAATACAATATGAAAATACAGTAGTAGAAGAGGGATAGAAGCTTACAGCGAATTCAAGAAAGTATCTTTCTCTTCTTCCAGTTGGCACACAACTCCAATTGTAGTATGGTCCATCAAACTTGTTAGTAAAACACTTGGTGACCTTTCGGGTTAGCTTACCCTTATCCTTACCAAACCTACAATCAAATAAACAAACTTACAATCTATACACAAGAATACAAACAGACCTAAAACTCTTCACAAACTATACCTAAACAGAACCATACATAAACCCTAAACAAGAACCAGAACCATACCTAAACCCTAAACAAGAACCAGAACCTATACACAAACAGACCTAAACCATACCTAAACCTATACACAAACCATACCTTAACACAAACAGACCTAAACCATACCTAATCCTATACACAATTCTAGACAATCCTATACACAATTCTATACAAACAATCCTATAAACATTCAGAATCCTTACCATGTCGTCCCAGGCTCTAAAGTCGGAGAGATGAGAGTAGTATAGAGCTCACGGCCTGGGATGACAAGCGTATCATGTAAAGTCGCGAGGACATCTTCTAGGAGTGTTGAATCCCTCAAACCTTCATCCTCCGATGTAGTTTCATCATCAGCTTCTTCATTCAATGCAGCTTCTTCTTCTTCAACGTTCTGAGCTTGAGAACTGTGACCAGACAGAGAGGCTCTTGGTGGTTGTTGTTGATTAACCACTGGAGAAGGAACCGGCGCTGGAGGCTGAACTGGAGCTGGAGACTGAGAGGCACGGGGAGATCCGGATGCTAAACGATGAACAGAGGAGACAGATGCTCGAAACGGAGTCGTTCTAGAGCCCCGAGGAGATCCACCAGCTGCATGCTGAGATCCTTCGCCCGACTGGAAAAGCTGCAGCGGAGGTGGATAGTCTCTTAGACTCAGTTGCGGTGAAGGCTGACGATTCGGCGGATGCTCAGTCCCATGATTTGGATCTTTAGGGTTCGCCGGCGTGAACTCATACTGCGACGGAAGGCTCCTTGGTCTTCGACTTGATACACCGGAAGATGTGGGTCGAGTAGGGACGACAGTGGGTCGCTTCACCGGAGACTTCGGTCCCCTCTTCCCTCTTCCGCTTCCTCTTCCACCGCGAACACGAGGAGCCATCGATTAGACCTAAAAGAAGTAAATTTGTAGAGAATTGGAGAGAAATTGCAGGGTTAGGGTTAGGGTTCGTCGAGATAGAGAGAATTAGGGATCTAGGGTTAGAGAAATGCGGAATTAGGGTTTCCTTGGTTAGAAATAGGGAATTTATACTATGGGCCAACGCAGTAAATCTAATGGACCGAGACCAATTAAAAGGCCCAATTAGAAATTATAGTCGCTATAAAGTGGCTAATTAGTAGCCCAGTTTATAGACTAAATATTTAGAAGCTACTTAGTCGCCTAATTTGGCGACTATACAACGACTATTGTTATCCGTCGCCAAATGCAGACGGATTAGCGACTAATGTTATTTAGGCAACATTCAGTCGCCTAAATGTAGCAATTCAGTCCTCAAATTCAGCGACTAATTTATCAGTCGCTGAATAACGTCGCTAATGACGTGTTTTCTTGTAGTGGTTGCTCGGTCTACGCCGTGGGTTTTTGCTGTAAAGTGTTGGGTTAAAAGGTGCACTTGGAGAGTTAGAGCTACACCGATTGATGCATCTGGGAATTTTCACATCAAAGTCTATGTGAATCAGCATACGTGTTCTGTAACAGAGCGATCCGCCCGTTGTAGACAAGCAACCAAGGATATACTTGCAGTACTTTACAAGAATTTCGTTGGTGGTGTAGGCCCAGGCGTACTCCCTAATCATGTCTCTGAGGCGTTGAAACTGCGTTATGGCATCAAGATAAGTCTATTTACTAGGTTTCCAAATAAGTGCTCACACCCGTAAGGCGTTGTTAACTATATGACATAAACTTTCATCTTACTAGGTTGGATATTGGAAAGCTCATCGTACACTTAAGTATGCACGTGAATTAGTTAGAGGAAGTCCGGAAACAGGGTATCAAGACCTTCCAGAATACTTATACAGGATTAGGAGAGCAAACCCTGGGAGCCTTACTAGGCTTGAAGTAGATGAGTTAGATAGATTCAAGTATGTTTTCATTTCATTTGGTGCTAGCATTGACGGCTTTACTTTTATGAGGAAAGTTATTGTTGTGGATGGTACATTTTTTAAGGGGAAATATTTAGGGACCTTGTTACTAGCAACCACACAAGATGGAAATTTCAATATATTTCCCTTAGCGTTTGTTGTTGTTGATTCAGAGAACGATGAATCCTGGGAATGGTTTTTCAGACAACTAAGCTGTGTTATTCCAGATGATCATGGACTAGCCATTATTTCGGATAGGCATAAATCTATTGCAAAAGCTATACGGACTGTATATCCACAAGCTAGCTGAGGGATTTGCACATACCATCTACACAAAAACATAAAGCTTAGATTTAGAGGAAGTGAAACATTTGGATTAGTGAAGAAGGCGGCTACAGCTTATCGATTAGTAGATTTCAATGCAACTTTTGATATTATTAAAGCTTTGTATCCAGACCTGTACAGCTATTTGGTGCGGGCAGATATAACTACGTGGAGTAGGGTTCACTTTCCAGGAGATAGGTACAACCTCACAACAAGCAACATTGCTAAATCATTAAACAAAGTGTTAAATCCTGCTAGAAGGTATCCCATTGTTGAACTGCTAGACGATATAAGATTGATGTTTACTCGATGGTATGCTGCAAGGAGAAAACAGGCTGCGCTTATGACAACCATTCTCACTAAAGGAGTTGAAAAAGCACTAGAGGTATTACATTCCACATAATTTACTTTATTTTAAACTGTTTGCCTTTATTTTTTGATCCATCTATTTTAATTACTGTGTCTATCCTCTAACAGTCCCGAGTGACTCGCGCTAGTAAGCTAAGTGTTCAGGAGATTGATCCCCATCAATACAAAGTGAGGAGTCTTGCGTCTATGAATGTTGTTAATTTAAAACAGAAGAAGTGTACATGTCGTATGTTTGACCTCGAAAAACTACCTTGCATACATGCGATAGCCGCAGCTGATTCGGCTCATGTATCAACGATTTCAAAGGCCCATCCTTACTATCGCTCAGAATACTTACGCAATGGTTATTCAAAATCTGTAATGCCAAAGGATGAGGCTTGTTCTGTACCTGATTCAGTCACCGGGAAGGTTATCAATCCACCTTTTGTTAAGGTTCAATCTGGGAGGCCGAAGATGTCACGGATGAAAGGTCATTTAGAGGTTGCATCACCGCGCAAAGTACCAAGGAAAGCATATGCTTGTTCTAACTGTGGAAATGCTGGCCACAATCGGCTGTCTTGCAAAGCTTGATACATTTGGTGATTTGAACATATCTCTACTCTATGTTGGACCAATTTGTATGAATACATTTGTTTTCTCTATGTGTTGTTGTTTTCAGTGAAGCAATCCTTAATATCAAAAACAGAGTTGTTGTTACAAAAAAACAGAGAACTACAACATCATTGGGAATGCTATTGTTCTTAACACATATCATGGAACCTATTTGCGTAATTAAAAACTAAGCAATGCTGACAAACAGTTAAATCCGTGTTGTGGTCAAAATAGCATATTAGATACTCTAAGAAATGGATATATCCTAAAAAAACTCTCCGTCCTCTAGGACCGATAAATCTGACCTGGCTTTCCACTACATCCGCAATGTCAATCGCATCTTGCAAAGTTTCAAATCTAGCCATAAAGGTTCTGTTAACTATCATACCTTGTTCATAGGATCCACAGCATAAGAGCATAACGAAAAATGCAAACATAGTGTAGAGGTCAGAATAACCTACTTCTCCAAGCATCTCCAACGCTTCAACCGACGGGCCAACTTGAGTCAATCGGCGCAGAGATTCGATGTATCTAGCAGTCTTATGACCTTCAGCTGCGCATCTTAACAAGAATGGTCGGTAGATAGATTCTTCTATACCAAGTCTAGTGTTAAACATGAATTCATCAAGATCTACGTCGAGGAGAACTTCACGTGAGTACACAATCTCTTTAAAACAAGGGCCAGCAGCAATGAAAGGACCAAGGTATCGAAATCCCTCATTTCCAATAAGTCGGATTATATCTGTTATGAGGGGATTGGGAATGAAGCTCATTGTTTATGTCGTTTTTTGCCACATGGAGAGTGAGAGCGAAATGAACAAACTTTACTTTTATATAGTTGCATATAGAAGACAAGATATTAACCTAATCGTTGACGTTTTAGTTCACTTACACAGCAAAGTACATATTGGGCTTTTATTAAAAACAATTAATCCGGCCCATAGAAATCCAAACATGTGCCCTAATTTTTTAAAGTCCTCCGCTTGGGCGCCGAGAGATCCCGTCGAAACTCCGTCTTTTTTGCTTCCGGAACCTCTGCATCTTCTTCTTTGGTTAGTTTGATTCGTATTCGAATATGATAAAATCTTTGGGGGTGTTGTTGTCAGGAAGGGCTCGAGTTAGAGACCAAACGGATATAACAGCAGAAGAACAGGGGAAAAGTATCCTTCGACCGGAGCTTCAAATGGTTCTGATGTTGCTGTAAGCGTTCCGACGGAAGATTCTTCAGATGCGGCTGTAAAAGATCCAGTAAAAGCTTCTGATGCTTCTGAATTGGATCGAACAGAGGATCCCGTAGAAGGATTAAAAGGAACAGAAGCTGTAGAAGAAATGGAAGAAGTAGCTGACAAAGAGGAAGAGGAAGATGTCTAGAGAAACATTGATGCTGAGGATGATGATGATTCCCAACCACTGCCACCAGAGAATATGTTCTTCGGTCCAACTGAGTACATCAAGGTCTGTAAGGTAGGAAGTAGGTGTCAATTGGGCCAAACAGTGGCAATGATAGAGGGAATTGATGCAGAATTGAAGTGGTTCCGTAATCATGATCAATTTAAGCATATGTTCCACATGCCTAAGGAACCAAATCATATGTTACAAGGCATGTGGATGCTTATGGTTCGCACCTCTAAGACGGATATGGTGAGAGAGTGTTGGTTTGTGGTGAATAGAGTGCCTATAAGGTATTCTATGGAAGAGCACGCTTTGTTGACCGGGTTGGCCTGCCATGAGTACCCGAAAAATCTAGAGAAGATTGGCAGTTTGAAATTTATTATGAAGATTTTGGGGAGGACAGATCAAATCAAAATTAAAGAGGTGGAAAAGAAGGTGAAAGAGTTCAAGGATCAGGAGTGTGTTGCTAGAAAGAAATTGACAATCTTGTTATTTTTATGCAAGGTTCTGAAAGCAGATTCAAAAGGTGATGCAAACATAGAGCAATTACTGTTAAGGATTGTTAATAATGTGGCAGCTTGTGAGACATTCCCGTGGGGACGATACTCATTTGAGCAGTGTATGGAAGGGATCTGGAGAGTAATGAAGAACATGAAAGGGTCAGTAAAACCAAAAGCTCAAACAAGCTTTTATGGATTCATTACCCCTCTTGAGGTGAGTCTTCAAATTATTATGAATTACAGTTTTGAATTAATAGTAATATAATGTTAAGACAGTGTTATTTTGAATGTGTAGATTCTAGCTTTTGAGTGCATTCCACAGCTTCGAAGGAGATTCAGAGAAGCTGTACCCGCAGAGAATGATTGTCCGAGAATGTGCAAGCATAGGTTCAGTGATAGTTGCATGAAGGGCTTTACTTTGGAAGAAATACATGAAGCTCTAGGAGAAACTACGGTTAGCCGTTTGGAACCTCACGCTTTATTTGATTTGGTTAGTTAATCTATCTTCATTTTGAAGCTATGTTAATTTGACAGGATATTTCAAGTATCTTGGAACCTGATTTAGATGAGAGGAATATGCTGTCTCGCCTCTTAGTGAATGATGTTGATGATGGGATAGGATTTATAGACCCAATAGTTGATAGCTGGAGAGAGCGGCTTATCAGACAGAAGAAGAAGATCTGGTGGGAAAGTCATTACCAAATGGATTTGGATGCAAGACGCAATGCTGATGTCCCTGAAGAAGTTGATGATGTTCCTGTTCCATCTATCCTCTTATTACAGGCCGCGATGGATAAAGGATTTGAGAAAATCGGGGAAAAGCTTGTTGAGATGGACACCAAAA